TTTTCTTTTAAATAAAATGCATCATATGGGTTTTAGAGGTGACTTTTTTTGTTGGATGAAATCATATTTGAATGGACGTAAGTTCTGTGTTAAAATAAAAAACAAAGTCTCTGACAATATGGACAGTGATATTGGGGTTCCTCAGGGCTCGGTGTTGGGACCACTCTTATTTTCGATTTTTGTTAATGATCTTCCGAGGTTCATAAGTGGGAAGGTGACGATGTATGCAGATGATACATATGTAGTTGTGTTTGTTGTTTGCGAACTGGTGCTCTAAGAACAGACTTATACTTAATGAAGGTAAAACTGAATACGTCTTGTTTTTTCCCCGTAACTTTAAAAAATTGTACAAAAGAGTAACTAATTAGAAAAACCAATCCAACTATCTTGCAATCTTTTTCAAACGGATTTTTCTCTGTGTAGGGACTAGAATTTTACCTCTTAGGACAGAGGCTTAATATAAACTGAAAACTAATGATCAATCTTGCGAAAAAAAGCAATTAGGAAAAGGACCTTTTAGTGACATTTTGTCTATGAAAAGGCATAACCGCATTTTATCATTAAAAGACGGCAGGTATAACATTAAAAGACGATGAAATGACAAAAGGCAAAAGATGCCGAAAAGTCAATATATTATGTTGGTTTCTTTTATTACTTGTTAACGCCACCATAACGACTTGTTTTACATTAAATCCCCGTCATTTCGGCCGTAAAATAGTTCAAGTATCTATTATCGAGAAAAAGGAGTGCCTTCGAAATTCGATTTTTTTTTATTTGACTACGAAGATATTTTATTTCGAAAACTTTACCTGAGAAATTATAACGATCCATAAATAATGAAGGCTTTATTAAATTATCTTGTTACTAATTTATCAAAAGCCCACTTTAAAAATTCTTTTCAGGATCAGGTGTAAATTCGTAACATGACAAATAGCGCGCAATAAAAAATATTTCCTTCACTTCCTAGTTTTCGTATTGTAAGTTTCCAATAAGTATAGCATGTGCATGCTAAATAAATTAGTAGTTTATTTAGTCTTGCGCGTGCATAGCATTTTACCTAATTAGTTTTGCATAATGCACTGCTAAATGAATTGACAATCATTTTTAAGTGACAATTAATAATAATAATAATAAGTTTAGTTGAGACAAGAAGCCTGAAAGCTTTCAGGTTAGTGAGTTGTACAAAATGTTTTAATGGATATGGGCGAAGACCTCTTTAGACGCGATCGATCCTTTGTATTTGTCTCACCCCTTCTACTTACTCAAAACTCATCTAAAGCGTCTAAGGGCGTCTACGACGTCGCGACGCGTCTCACATTTTGACCCTTTTGATTGATACGCAAATAAATATGCAGAGATTCGTCTAATGGACTCACTAAAACATTAATTATTTTAAATTCTCAAATACAAATGCAAAAAATACCAAAAATATCTCATTTTATATTTGAACAGCTACACGGTATCACCAAAAAATACCCAATTAACGTTTTTTTTCACCAAAAATATTTAATTTAACTTTTTTTATATTAGGGTCAAATATAAACAGTGAGTTTCATTTTGATTGCTGGCAATTCGGTATTTATTTAAAAATATTACGATTAAAAAAAAATGTTTTGAGTTTGTGGAAAAAAAACATTGTCATGGCTTTCTATGATTAATAGAAGAGCGTCAAAAACTTTAAAAGTTATAAGGCATTTTTTAAATTTAAAATGGATTCTGATTCTGAATTTTGCATACCTAAAAACCCCTAAAACGATAATTTTCTAATAAAATTTTATACAGGATGGTTAAATTTGTAAAAAAAAATAATTTTGCTTAGTGTTGTAACCCTATCTAAATGGTATTTGTTAATAATTTTTTACCTTAATTTATGAACACTCAGTATAAGCTAAAGTAACAAAACTAAGCGAGAACATTTATTATTTTAAATCACATGTATCAAATATTTGCAAATTTTCCAATACTGAGTTTTAGCATTAAATTGCTGTAATATTTTGAAAATATTCGGTAAAAATAAATGTTTAAATGAGGAAAATGAAATTTCAAAAAGTTTATACAAAACCATTTACAATACTACATGTAAATTGAAATGTTAACAGAAGGTTTATGTGTCAAAAACAGCAAAATCATATTTTAATAAAGGTTATTTAAAAATTATTCATATTAATTATAATTAATTTATCAAAACAATTCGGTTTCATTATAACTGATGAAATTATTTAAATAACTGTTAAAAAATATTTAAAATAACATCATTTTTACTAAAGACTATTTAGGGTGCTTTATTAAATTCGATCAATTTTTTAGGTTTGTTTCCTAAACTGCGCAAGAGGACTTTATTTTGAAGTCCTATTGCGCAGGCCTTTTAGTGTTTTGGACTCTTGTAAGAAGCAAATCTTTTATGGGTCAACTGTAACTCTACTGTCAAATTTTAATTCTTGTAATCTGTGTGGTTTATTAAAAGTATGTCACTGCTATTGTAACTAATGTGTAAATCCGAAATCTGCATGGGTGGGCCGACCGACAAAGCTGCTCAAATACATTAGGATACAATTGCTTCACAGGAGACTGGTATACATTACGATCTTTTACATTATTACCGAATAATAACGTTGTTACACTTGTTTGAAATAATGGTTAAATGGCTAATCAGTCGTATAATTGTAATCCTTTTTCCGACAGAGGTAGTCGAAAAAACAATGCAAATCCATCGAAAACGTCAACATTTGACGAAAGACCCTCCCGGTGCGCTTACGACTCGGCCTGCTAATACAAATTGCTTGTCGAGAAAATCCCATTAAAAAATTACCTTACCCGGCACATCTCCTTCAATTTTGTTTGACCTCTGCGTTATCGAATTGCATTATATAACTTTTTTATGAAGAACTTTCAAAACACACCGCTTGTGACAGTAAACATAAATGCATGTACTAAGCAATTCTTATCGTTATTTGGAGTTCACTCATTTTTACAGACTCTTCACCTCAACTTGTATATACATATATAAATAAAATGTTGGCCAGCTGATGTTTGTTCCCTTCTTTTAACTAAGTTAAGATAACACACTAAAGATAATTTAATTGAACTTGACAAATATATCAATTAATTTAAATTGGTCAGGAGATAACGCAAATGATTCATTACCATGGTAATGAATTGATCGAATTCTTTCGGAAGCCTCAAATATTTAAAAAAAAATTACAAAGCGGTTGACGAGGAAAAATGTTTACTAAAGAACGAGAGCCTTTAAATCGTTAATGAAAAATTCTACGGTTGATATACTTAGGCGCCGCGGCTGGGTCTCTGTAGGAGAACCACAATGCATAATGACAATGCACTATTATACAATCGGTAAAGCTGATGACTGACTATGAACGAAACTATCTTGATCGCTTCTTAAGTGGTGGATACAGCATGTGTTTGTCCTAGATATATTTACACTGTACCCACCTCTATCAAGAAACACTACTCGAAACAATTGTGTTCACCATCAAGATAAAAAATCTGCAAAAGAAAGATTTTTACCACAAATTTATAGTTGAACCCTTGTGGTACCTTTGAAATTCTAGAAACCAAAGACGGCATCTTCTGGTTTAAATTGCTTTCTTTAACATACAAACAATTATGTTCATCATCAAGATTTCGTCAAGATAAAAATTATTAAAATCTGCAAAATCAAGATTTTTACCACAAATTTATAGTTGAACCCTTGTGGTACCTTTGAAATTCTAGAAACCAAAGACGGCATCTTCTGGTTTAAATTGCTTTCTGTAACATACAAACAATTATGTTCATCATCAAGTTTTCGTCAAGATAAAAATTATTAAAATCTGCAAAATCAAGATTTTTACAACAAATTTATAGTTGAACCCTTGTGGGACCTTTGAAATTCTAGAAACCAAGGACAGCATCTTCTGGTTTAAATTGCTTTCTTTAACATACAAACCATTATGTTCATCACCAAGATTTCGTCAAGATAAAAATTCTTAAAATCTGCAAAATCAAGATTTTTACCACAAATTTATAGTTGAACCCTTGTGGTACCTTTGAAATTCTAGAAAACAAAGACAGCATTTTCTGGTTTAAATTGCTTTCTTTAACATACAAACAATTATGTTCATCATCAAGATTTCGTCAAGATAAAAATTCTTAAAATCTGCAAAATCAAGATTTTTACCACAAATTTATAGTGGGACCTTTTAAATTCTAGAAACCAAAGACGGCATCTTTTGGTGTAAATTGCTTTCTTTAACATACAAATAGGTTTTTTGTCCTTCAATAGAAACTTTTTCGATGGTCACGACAAAATCTAATTGGATTTTTCGTTAAATTCGAAAGAGTACATTACGTACCTGTTATATTGGTAGCAATATAAAGACGCCATCTCTGCGCTGTGAAACTTATTAGACAGGTTCAGTTGTGAAGCGTGAACTCGACCATATAATGAAATGTATTATTCTTTAAAGTACCGCTAAAATCGTCTCAGTTTTTATATCCTCAATTAAAAACACAATGCCTAATGACCAATTAATCTTTTTATGCCACTCTGAATTTGTGACAGACTTGGCTTTTACGAGTTTGGATTTAATTTGTTTTATTTTTTAATATGCTAGTTATGTAGTTGTGTGTGTATGTATGGTAGGTAAGATGATGGTTGGGTAGTGATATATGAGAGAGTAGTTGTGATGTGATATGGATCGTAGTGTTTTTTATGAGAGAGGATGGATGAAGCGAGGTGAGGTGAGGTGACTACGTCTGCGGTAATTTAGATGGTAGAAGTAAGATAGCGAGCTCAAAAGCGGAGCCGGAGCGTAGCAGCGCATAGCCGAGAGTAAAGAGTGTAGACGGTAGGATATAGGTAGGACAGTTTGTCGGGGGGTGTACGTTCAAGGGGTATCGTCACCTACACCGAACGTCCACCTTGTCAAGCTCTCCCACCCTTGTCACAGCGTGGCCCCGCCTCTAGTGCGCACGCTGTGTTATCCCCACTTTTGTTACAGCACTGGACAAGTTGGGTATGCGACATCTCTTCACTAACAGTGCTTCTGAACCGGTGCGTCTGAATGCCGCGTTTGACATCGCCAGTTTAGTACTTTACGGATGTCAAGCTCTGCCGATTCGACTGAAACTTCTCTTGGACCGTTTGTTTTCGGCGCTTCACAAGGACCAAGTGCTCCAGATCTTGCATGGATTTGGATGGACACCAGAAGACTACGCTAGAGGATACATTGTACAGGTAATTAAAAGCCTTCATCTAATCGTCTTAAGCATGCCTAATTTTTCCAAATCTAACTCTTACCCCGCGACAAGTGAACAGTGGAACAGTGACGGACTGACAGTGTTGTGATGTGACAGTGTCTTCTTAAAACTTGTGTGTACTAACTGCTTACATTTTCGAACTCACTATAGTGACACTTTAGAATCATCTGCCGACGCATCCTTGCTAATTCCTGCAGTACGTAGATTCGACTTTTGAACGTACGAATTAGTAATATTATTATTCTTTTAGAACGCATTGTATATGTAAGTCTTTTTGGCACGAATGCGTTTTGGGAGATTAATATTTGGTTTCGTGCGGTCGTCAGAGAATCACAGACACTAAAATTACACAGTATTTTGCATATCATTTCTGCGAGACGCAATCGTTCTTACTTGGGTATAATTTTGAAAATGGTCATTTTCTTTTTTTTTTATTAATAACCTTCGTGCTCTAATGCTGGATTCAGCCATAATGATACACTGTCTTAAATAATAAGCGGGGTCCTGATTAAACGCTCATTTTGACATGTATAATCAGCAGTATTTTCAAAATTATTGCATATGCATCGCTGAAATTATTGAATACTTAATATTTTTATTTCGTTCGGTGGTTATAAATAATTCTAGGTGTTAAAGTTTTTAAATCGACCAATTACCAGCAATTTCCTTATTAATATAATGGTGCCTACATACACTGAAGCCGATTAGTATTCATTTATGCAAATTAAAAGTGTTTAATGTTGATATAGAGTCCTTAATTGTTATTAAGACAACAATGTCACCGACTTTAATACTCCGCTCAACGGAAAATATGTAAATAACTTTAACAAGAAGCAAACGCTCACTAGCGACGGCCGGCAAACACCTTAGATTTCATTATCAACACTTACCTGTTGTAATAACATTAAAATATTTGCCGAAGCTATTTCAAATCCCCGATTATTTTATCACCAAATCCTACATTTAACATGCCACACAAATATTTTCTTATTCGAATTGTAAACGAGATGATGCATCAAACTTCACCTTGTATATTATTTTAACTTTACCTGTCCTATTTATTATTCTTTATTTTTTTTCGTCGCTTATTTTTGTAGTGACAATCGACTTCTTAAAGTGTGATTTTTAGTTTTACAAACAACAAAATTGTTCGGTCATTGTTGTTACATTGCGGTTTAAAAAGTTTTGTGTAAGGTCGATTTTTTTTTATCACTTTTATCTTAATTTTTTTTTTGGATATCTATTTTATAGCAGTAGTATATATCTGATTGAATATGTTTATAAAATAATAGCACTTCTCTGCCCCACTAGTTTCGGGGTTTCTACAATAGTATAAGTGTATTTTACTTTTGTAGAGGCCCTTGAAGATTATTATTATTATTATTATTTTTTTAATGTGTTTTCAACAGAAATACACAATGACAAACACAAATAAACAACCATACCCTTGGTGGGATACGAACCCACGACCTCTCGGTTTGTAGTCCGCAGTGCTAACTACTACAGCCAACGAGGGCGGTTAGTAATAACCGAAACTAGTCGGGGTTTTTAAATAAAGAGTAGTGTTATTTTTTCATAAACATATTCAATAATTTATCCTAAAACTTTATTTTTGGTAATTTTTTATTTATTGTTCTAAGGAAAAAGGCCATTTTTAAAATGAACCATTGTTGTTGTTGCTACTGGTAATTTTGGTAAATTCTCGATATTAATATGTTCGTTTAGTTTAGATCGTTGGATAAATTGTTGTTTGTTTTTGCAGGAGTCAAACGGCAGCACTCTGGACCGATGGAGTATATGCAGTCCTGAGGAGGAGCCTCTGGTCCTCCAGCAGTTTCTCAGATTCGGAGAGACGCGAGCGATAACGCAGCAACTAATTTTGGCCCATCAGGCCCTGCAGGACCCCACGCTGGAGCGGCTCGAGCGCCTTCATCCGTCACACGCTTCGCGTTCCCGGGCGATGTCCCCGAACCGCCACGGACCGTCACCGCCGACCGTCGCGACGTCCGCCTTTCATCCTTCTCGCTTGCCAACGATGTCGCCTCATCAAAAGCACCATTTAAACTACCTGAAAATGCCGACTTCCAACGGGCCGATCTCCTCGCATTCGCCGCCCACTAGCATAAATACGAGCCCTTTGAACACCACACCGCTGAATCGGCTTCAAAACATGCAACCGTTCGATTATCGTAAGTTGGGCGCTAATTTGATGAATTTTCCCAGCCGCGTCAGCCCCGACATGACTAACAGACGGAGGACTTCGGAAAACGAATCGGTCGGTTTGAATTTGAGCATGGCCACCTCTATGCCTCAATGTTTACCGCCGCCGCCGCCGCCACCGTCGTCTCTTAGTCATTCTGCCGCGGCTATGGCTGCTGCGGCTGCCGTTTCGGTGAATTCCTTGGCCGCTGCCAGTTTGGTGGCTTCTTCGTTCCCCGCTTTGATGTCGACGAAAATGTCTTCGGGCAGTAGATCGCCGTCGAGCGCGGAATTCGCTTGCGGTAACAACAACAGCGAAGACGACGAGGACGACGAAAACTCTCATAGTGTGCTTAATTTGAGCAGAGATAGAGATGCCCAGAGGACGCCGAGGCATCGCGCTATTCCCGGCCGCAAGCCGACCAAGCGACAATGGGGTTCGCCCAGTTTGCCGTTGAATTTGGGCACCCAATTCATTAATCCCGCCACGGGCAAGAAGCGAGTACAATGCAACGTGTGCTTGAAGACTTTCTGCGATAAAGGTGCTCTGAAGATTCACTTTTCTGCCGTGCATCTGCGCGAAATGCACAAATGTACCGTTGAAGGTTGCAACATGATGTTCAGTTCGAGAAGATCTCGAAACAGGCACAGTGCCAACCCGAATCCCAAGTTACATTCGCCGCACCTTCGACGAAAAATATCGCCGCACGATGGCAGGAGCTCCCAATCCCACCCCATGTTGATACCCCCACAGACCGGTTTAAGCCTGCCAGCGGCAGCTGCAGCATTAAATCCACTTAATCCGTTCGGGCCGTTCCCACTGCTCACTCCCCCACCCGATATGAAATACCACCCCCTCACTATGGACTTTAAACAAACGCTGGATTTGAGCATGCAAAGGTTGGAGGAAAGTAAAAACTGCCTAAAAGAATACAGCAGTGGTTTGTCCCTTCAACATCACTCGCATCAACAGTCGCACTCCGAAGATGACGAGGACGACGATGATGGGATTGTAGTGGTTGGTGGCGATGAAGAAGATGAGGTTCCAGAAAAAACTGAATCTACAAACGGTGTGTCCGTTACTTCGTCCGATCAGCCTGAAGATTTCAGCATGCCCGCTAAAAAGCAGAAAATGTCAATCTCCGACGTTGAGGAAGATATAGCCAGTAATGTAGATAGTAATGAGGATTCCTTGAGTGTTGTCGATACCCATAGCCTGAAGGATGAGAGTAACGTGCAAACCAACAAGAGAAAGCGCAAAAGTCAGAACCCAACGAGATGCACTATACAACCAGTAATGCAAGATGCTGGAAGCGATGGCGATTCATCGAATGACGTTTTTTCCGAACGATTGATCGAAAAACCAAAAATGATGATCGAAGTCGAAGAAAAACCTAAGGAAATCAAGGAAGAAAAAAAACTCGAAATTAAAACCGAAGAAAGATGCGAATCTCCTCTGGACCTGGGAAAGAGGAGTCCAGATGTAAATGCCAATGAACCTGAAAAAACTATTAGTCCTGAAATTAAAACTAGTTTAGCTCCACTATTTATGATAGACAAAATAAAGAAGGAAAAGACGTTTCATGAAAGTGAACCCGTTGAAGAGGCTGAAGAAAGGCCGGCTAGCTCTGTAGAAAGCAACAAAAGCGACGAATCCTTCGATTCGTCCAACCCACTGCGGCACTTGGAATCCTTATCGCACGGTCATTTCGGCGATTTGATGGCGAGACATCTAGGCTTACCCGGCCAAAGCCCGCAATTCCCGCCGTTGGGGTTTATGATGAGTGGCGGGCCACCAAGTCCGGCCCGTTCCCAGGCTTCTTCTGCTGGAAGCAGTAACGGAGGAGAGTCGCCAGACGAAAACAGTCAAAACCAATTATTCGGTCACTATGACAACGGGCAATTTATAAGCACCATGGATGTTCCTATCGATAAAGACAACCCTCGCAGATGCACGGCGTGCGGCAAAATATTCCAAAATCATTTTGGCGTTAAAACTCACTACCAAAACGTTCACTTAAAATTGATGCACAAGTGCAACGTGGATGGCTGCAACGCGGCTTTTCCATCGAAACGCAGCAGAGATCGGCATAGTGCTAATCTGAATTTGCATAGAAAATTACTATCGACGTCTTCGGATAAATCGGTAAACAGTCTGTTCATGGAGAAATCGCCGTTCGCCAGTTTGGCCAACAACCCTGCTTTGCACAGCGATTTTCTATCGAGATTGTACGCCGAAGAGGCTCTTAAAGGTCATCACCTGCCGCCGCCGAATCTAGATCAACTGATGCTGAATGGCGATAGAATTCCTCACCCACCTCTATTATTACCTCCCTTGGCCGGTCTTCCATTCCCGCTGGGAAATTTCAACCACTTCGGCCAGTTTAACGGTTCCTCGCTACCTACTCGCAAAGAACGCTCCTCCAGTTCGAGTTCGCCAGTATCTGGATCTCCTCCTCCGACGAATTTGTCTCCAAGTGCTTCGAAATACGTGCATTGTGTCGAAGAAGACCTCCCTACTCCCGATAAAGAGGGCAACTTGCCTTGCAGATTGTGCAGGAGCGCGTTTAGTTCGTCGTCGCAGCTGAAGGATCACTGCGAGAAAAACCACATATCCGAAATGTTTAAATGCACCGTGATGGGTTGCCCGAAGGTTTTCATTTCGCGAACCAGAAGGAACATTCACTCCGAGAACGAATCTCTTCATGTTAACTCTTCTAGCAAGGACACGCCGGTTTCGTGACCACTAAGCAATCTACTAGAATTTAGGACAGTGCCCTTTTGGTGGTGATCTGATAAACTATAACTTATCGAACGTTAGATAGCTTCATATATGTGATTATAGTATAATTAATTTTTACTTTTCAAAGCCAGTTCTTTTCTTTTAATTTATTTTATCTTGTATGTATAAAGGACTTCTACCTGTGTTTCAGTGATTTTTTATTTTTAATATTATTTTGTATAGAAATTAGCCAGTCTTGAAAAATACTCATTGTAAATATATATTTCGTAGTTTTAGAAGATCTCTAGTAAGATGTGATTACAAAAAATTGCTATTTATGTGAATATTATAACCAATTGCTCATTTTTATTGTAATCTAAAATGACCCGTTTGTTTTTCCATACATAGTAAAATAAAAATGTCGCTTTACGATTCCTGGACGTTATCAATATAATTCACATGTAGTTAGATCTATTCAAATGTATATTTAAATGTGCAATAACTTTGTAAATACGCTATCTTGCCTATAAATGTATAGATGTATATATTATTTACACTTAATTAAAGGAGATTGAATCCAAAATGTATACGAAAAATATTATTTTCAACAACTGTATTTCTGAAATTTACAACAACAAAATTCAATCACACTTCTGATTCAGAAATACACCCAAGTAAATAATTCTTATCAAATGCAATTTTATCGGCAGAATTTTAGTTGACTCTGACAATTTATTTTCCTGCCTCTGCCTTTAAAACCGCATCCTTAGTAAGACCTTATTTACCGACTGTGTAACTATATTATGCACCATTTGTAAATGTTATTTGTTATTGCATATTCACCTACTTGTGTACAGTAATCAGTAATATGTATTGCCTTTTGGGCTTTATTAAACTTATAGCTGTCGTAATTTTTTTGTTTCATTTTAATTTAAACCCTACTCCCAAAAAGTTGTAAGTATAAACAATGCTTAATTACCATTATCAAGTACTTGGCACATTTGAATTGCTTTTTGTAGTTATATTTAAACGTAGTTTCTAAATTTAAGTTACTTAACTTAACTCTGAAAACTACCCTAAGATTTAACTACTAAATTAGCTATCTTAGTTTGATTAATATTCTCTTAGCAAACTTGATTGCTGGTAAAGAGTACTTTTAGTAGTCCAAAGGTAGTTCACTTAACATTAAAAACTACCCTTGGATATAATTACTAAAAGTACTTTTCACCAAGTATCTACATTTATTTAGTCAGGAAATTTAGATTGGTGGTAGATAAGGTAGTTTCTCAACTTAACAATAGAAAGTACCCTTGCATATAGTTACGAAAAGTACTACCCACCAACTATCTACGTTTATATAGTATACCTACACTTATGAATTTTATATTGCTGATAGAGACTGTACCCAGTTTTCAATGTTTAGTTACTCAACTTAAAATTAAAAACTACCCTTGAATAGAATTACTTAAAGCACTACCGACTAGCTATGTTTGGTATTCTATTAGCAAATTTAGATTGCTGATAGATAGTACTTTTACTAGATCTAACCAAAGTTACTTAACTTAATACTTAATAATAAACTACCCTTGGATGTAATTACTTAAAGTATAATTTAGTATACTTAAAGAACTACCCACCAACTATCTTCGTGTATATAGTATACCTACACTTAGAATATTTATATTGCTGATAGAGACTGTACCCAGTTTTCAATGTTTAGTTACTCAACTTAAAATTAAAAACTACCCTTGAATAGAATTACTTAAAGTACTACCGACTAGCTATGTTTAGTATCCTCTTAGCAATACTTTTACTAGTTATAACCAAAGGTAGTCTCTAAGTTACTTAACTTAATATTGGAAACTACCCTTGGATATAATTACTAAAAGTACTACACCCCAGCTACATTTATCTGGTATATGCACTCTTAAGGTACAGTTTCGTTGATGCGACTCGCGGCTGCGGCTTGCGGCTGCGACCTTAGCCGCGCCACTGCTTAGTACAATTTGTGTGCATATGTTTTGGTTGGCGCGTTCAGTCGCAGTCTACATTTATTTGTTATAGGCACTCTTAGGACCTTTAGATTGCTGACATATAAGGTACTTAGTTTCTAATGTTAAGTTACTTAACTTAACATTAAAAAATACCCTTGAATATAATTACTAAAAGTACTACCCACCGCCTATTTAACATTCTTTTAGCAAACTTAGATTGCTGATAGATGGAATTTTTAATAGTTCTAACCATAGGTAGTTTCTAAGTTACTCAACTTAAGATTAGCAACTACCCTTTGATATAATTACTAAATGTACTACCCACCAACTATCTACGTTTATATACAGTGTTGTAATGTATCTAGTTACAAGTAACTAGATACAGTATCTAGATACTTTTTATGTATCTGTTTGTGTAACTAGTTACTTATCCCAATCTAGTAACTATAACTGTAACTAGTTACAAATTCCAAGTAACTAGGTGTGTTAAGATACAAAGATACATTTTTAATTAAACTGCGACTATTATTTATTGAGACAAGGAAAACACGTCAACTTCCACTTCTGACACAATTTTTAATTTCTGAACGCATCCAACAGTATGTCCATATAATATATGGTCATACTGATATTATTATTATTATTATTATTTTTTAACGAATTTACTTCCGTTGAGTAAAGAAATATACTAAACTGGTTATAAAAGGTTTTAAAAACCGTGGTAGATACAGTTTTCTGTAATCTGCACGTTTGACAGTTAAGGTTTGTTTAAAATTTAAATTTAAAGAATCTTGTTACAAAAATGATATATTTAAAAATAAGTACTTGTATTAAAAATTCCCTTTTATTTCTATTTTAAATTTTTAAACCAAAAAATAATTTGTATGTATCTTAAAGTATCTAGATACTTTTTGAAGGTAAATGTATCTGTAACTAGTTACTGCAATAAAATATGTATCTGTATCTGTATCTAGCTACAAATTTTGGTAAGTAACTGTAACTGTAGCTAGATACTGAAAATATTGTAACTGTTACAACACTGTTTATATACTACACCTACACTTAGGAAATTTATATTGCTGATAGAGACTGTACCCAGTTTTCAATGTTTAGTTACTCAACTTAAAATTAAAAACTACCGTTGAATAGAATTACTTAAAGTACTACCGACTAGCTATGTTTAGTATTCTCTTAACAAATTTAGATTGCTGATAGATAGTACTTTTACTAGTTCTAACCAAAGCTAATATCTAAGTTACTTAACTTAATATTGGAAACTACCCTTGGATATAATTACTAAAAGTACTACACCCCAGCTATCTACATTTATTTGTTATAGGCACTCTTAGGACCTTTAGATTGCTGATAGATGAAACTTTTAATAGTTCTAACCATAGGTAGGTTTTAAGTTACTCAACTTAACAATAGAAACTACCCTTGCATATAATTACTAAAAGTACTACCCACCAACTCTCTACGTTTATATAGTATAGCTACCCTTAGGAAATTTATATTGCTGATAGAGACTGTACCCAGTTTTCAATATTTAGTTACTTAACTTAAAATTAAAAACTACCCTTGAATAGAATTACTAAAAGTATTACCGACTAGCTATGTTTAGTATTCCCTTAGCAAATTTAGATTGCTGATAGATAGTACTTTTACTAGTTCTAACCAAAGGTAGTATCTAAGTTACTTAACTTAATATTGGAAACTACCCTTGGACATAATTACTAAAAGTACTACACCCAGCTACATTTATTTGGTATATGCACTCTTAGGACATTTAGATTGCTGATATATAAGGTAATTAGTTTCTAATGTTAAGTCACTTAACTTAACATTAAAAACTACCCTTGAATAGAATTACTAAAAGTACTACCCACCAGCTATTTAGTATTCTTTTAGCAAACTTAGATTGCTGTTGGATGAAACTTTTAATAGTTCTAACCATAGGTAGGTTTTAAGTTACTCAACTTAACAATATAAATTACCCTTGCATATAATTACTAAAAGTACTACCCACCAACTATCTAAGTTTACATAGTATAGCTACACTTAGGAAATTTATATTGCTGATAGAGAATGTACCAAATTTTCAATATTTAGTAACTCAACGTAAAATTAAAAACTACCCTTGAATAGAATTACTTAAAGTACTACCGAATGGCTATGTTTGGTATTCTCTTAGCAAATTTAGATTGCTGAAAGATAGTACTTTTACTAGTTCTAACCAAAGGTAGTAAGTTACTTAACTTAATATTGGAAACTACCCTTGGATATAATTACTAAAAGTACTACACCCCAGCTACATTTATTTGGTATATGCACTCTTAAGACATTTAGATTGCTGATATATAAGGTAATTAGTTTCTAATGTTAAGTCACTTAACTTAACATTAAAAACTACCCTTGAATAGAATTACTAAAAGTACCACCCACCAGCTATTTAGTATTCTTTTAGCAAACTTAGATTGCTGATAGATGAAACTTTTAATAGTTCTAACCATAGGTAGTTTTTAAGTTACTCAACTTAACAATAGAAACTACCCTTGCATATAATTTCTAAAAGTACTACCCACCATCTATAGTATACCTACACTTAGGAAATTTATATTGCTGATAGAGAATGTACCCAGTTTTCAATGTTTAGTTACTCAACTTAAAATTAAAACTACCCTTGAATAGAATTACTTAAAGTACTACCGACTAGCTATGTTTGGTATTCTCTTAGCAAATTTAGATTGCTGATAGATAGTACTTTTACTAGTTCAAACCAATGCTAATATCTAAGTTACTTAACTTAATATTGAAAACTACCCTTGGATATAATTACTAAAAGTACTACACCCCAGCTATCTACACCCCAGCTATCTACATTTATTTGTTATAGGCACTCTTAGGACCTTTAGATTGCTGATATATAAGGTACTTAGTTTCTAATGTTAAGTTTCTTAACTTAACATTAGAAACTACCCTTGAATAGAATTAATAAAAGTACTACCCACCAGCTATCTACGTTTATTTAGGTACTCTAAGGATGTTAAGTTACTTAACTTAGCATTGGAAACTATCCTTTGATAGAAGTACTACCCACAATCTATCTTAAGTATGTTTAGTATTCTCAAGGAATTTAGATAGCTGATAGATAAGGTAGGTACCTAGTTTCTAATGGATAGAACTAGGGATGTAACGTCCGATTTTTTTTCAAAATGTTCTTTTTTCACATTTAATATTTTTTTATTAATCCAATCAAGCATAGTTTTGGTCTTTTGGTAATTTAATTAAGCAGTTGATTGGGAAATTTAGTTTTCCACAAAAATAATGTTTGTTGCACAAACTTTATTTGTTGTCACCAAAAAATTTTTAAAGATTAAAAAAAAATTATTTTTGGTAAAATTTTAAATTTTGATTAAGTACTTCAATTGCATATATGTATCTCTGAAAACTTTGAAGTGTGGTATTAAAAATTACCTGAGCATGATTAAACTATAAAAACCTTGCACACTTTGGTAAATAATTCACGATTAATATTACAGAGCAGTCAAAAAATTACATATAATTTAACAAATTCTTAATTGGCTTATTCCAAGAAAAAACCATCGGACCCATGTCAAATTTCTAGCCGTTGGTGATACCTTATTATTAACATGTCATATACTAGACTTTACATGGATGGCAACGTATCAGATAGAATATACGTGTTTAAGCTGGGCAATTTTTTTATTTTTTTCGGTTTTTACTTTTAATTTTCGTGAAAATTTACATTTTTATAAAAAAAAACTAGATTGTGTACGTCAATATAAAGCTGTATACATTATTTGCCGCTTATAAATATTTAAACATTTTCAGCGTAACGCATGCAAGGTACTTGGACCTGGCACTTAAACTGCAAAATTAAGCCTCCGATGATTTTATAAAATTGTTTGAAATTTTTTTTTTTAACATTTAATAAAATAATTTGTGACAGGTTCAGCTGTTTTAGAATGTACGAGGTAAGTGA